ATGTAAATATATTGTCTATGACCGACCTGCCGGCAGTAAAACCACATTGTTCCTCTCCTATTTTTCCCTTTATCTCTTCTTCTATTATTATTTTTATTTGCTATACAGTCTACCTATAGATCCAATAACTGCTATTTCTCTGTAGTTTTTTTCATTGTCTCTAGATCCTTTCGTATGGATTGGTGTTAGGTAAGACGTTCGCCACTCCTGAGGAGGAACCTCTCCATTTATGCACCTTAAAAACATGTGTTTCAGCATTTGGTGCAGTAAATAGGGACCATATTTCAGTAATTCTGTCGGTATATCTCCCGGACCAGGTGACTTATTGGATTTCATGGTCTTAAGTGCTTTTTCTAAATCTTTAATTGTCAGATCTACCCTTTGCTCAAAATTCACTCCCTTGTATGAATGGAAGTTTTTGTTTCCTAGAAGCAGTCTTCCGAAATACTCTTTACAATTATTGATCCTAATGTTTGATAATGCGGTATTGTTTTTTTCATTCGAGTTAATAGATTTAATTACTTTCCAGGCTACTGAGCTCCGTGCTCCACCTATGAATTGTTCTATATAATCGCATTTATCCAGCCATAATTTATTCTTCCTTGATAATACTTCTTGTTTTACTTCTCTACTTATTGTTTTGTACTGTAAATTAGTTTCAGATTTTTTGTCACTAAGCCATTTTAAATACAGTTATCTTTTCCTCTTAATCTTTTATTCTAGACTTGTGTCCCACCAATACTGTTTCGGTTTTAATTTACAAGTACCTAAAGCCTCCTCTGCGGCTTGGTGAATACATTCTTTTATATGTTCATATTATTTTTCTATTGGCCTGTGTTTAACCAATACTTTAGTATCAAGCCTTTTTCTGTAGAGATATACTGTACTTTCGTCGTAAAGACTGCTTAATCTATATTTGGTAGGTTTCATGACAAATCCCTCTTTATCTTCTTTATCTGTGCTATTCAATGTAAATGGTATGAATATTTTAGCAAATACCAAACAATGATCGCTACATTGGGCTGCCCGTTTCACTCTAACATCTTGTACTTTGAGGGAAGTTTTTTGCTTAGTTACATAGAGGTCTGTTATAGATTTTAGTTTTTTTGTATGTTTGTACCAGGTGTACTTATGAATATCTTTATATTGGAAGAAAGTGTTATTAATTTTCATTTCATACTCTTCACAAATATTAATAAGTGTTTTTTCATTGTCATTGCGAGTTTCCTCACCATGTTGACCCACAATATTGTTGTTCTTGTATCTTCCAACTCTGCCGTTAAAATCTCCTGCAAATATTATTTCATGGGACTTTGGAATACCGTCAAGGGTTTTTTTGACTGTCATTTCAAAATCATCATTCTTAGCCATTGGGGCATCATAATTCAAATTATATATTCCTATGGCACTTATGCACTTTCCACTCTGATTTTAACACTACTTAAATAAGACGTTCGTTTATATACTCCCAACTTTTAATACATTTACTGAATCTTTCACCAATAACAATAGAAATTCCGGCTTTGGCATTTTCATGTTTGTTTACGCCACTGTAAAAGTGCACAAGGTTGTTCAGTGTTTCGCTTCTCTTGCCTTTCTTTTTTGTTTCAGACCAGACGGCTATATCTATGTTTCTTCTCATTTCCTGGATTACCTCTTGTTTGTTTGATATACTTTGTATATTCCGTATACCAATATTCAGAGTCCATTTTCTTTCCCGATGTCGTTTCCCTTTTGAAATATCCGAGGCTTTCCTAACGTTACGAATTTGAGTTCGAATCCCAGCGTGGAGAAAAAATATTGCTGCTTAGAAACACTTTTTCAGGCCCATGTACGTAATATTATAATATTGTGTTGCCGTTGGAAATGTAGTATTCACTTGTACGATGTTTGAAAGGTGCTAACTTGAAGAAAAATGCTATGCATTGCAGAATGAATTCATAAGCTGCAGTTATGATGAAGTTGTTGTGGAGAGTTGTTTAATTGAGTAGTCGTTTATAACAGACGACAGTATTGAACTGATATAAGCGATTACACAAATAATGCGAGGAAGTATGTGTTGTTGTAGCACCACTAGTTTCTTTTGTGCATCTGACGCAACAATGTGTTATGAAGGCTGTGGGTTCTGGTAAGGAAAGATATATTTTAACTGTGCGGTGCGTGGTTGTGTTATCAACTATCAAACACACTATCCCCAAGACCCATTTTAGCATCGTTCCATCTTTGCAGTAATCTCCTCGTAGTTACCCCTACATCATACATACAGAAATTTCACTATATTATTCTAGTTATCAGCCAGGAAAAGTAATATAATGCATACGTTTGCTAAATCAAGCTTACCTTCGCTCAGTGATGAATAGGGTCCGGATGTTTATGACATTTTTTCTTAGTGTTATTTCCATTGAAAATTTAAGTTAAGCATGTTTTAATTTACAATGACTATAATTATGCAATTTTGTGTCATATGCAGTCATATTTTGGCTTTTTAAAACCATTTTGTCATTTTCCGTTAACATTATGGTCATATTTTTTATTAAATATTCGGGCCCTAGTAATGGCCGTGGATCTCATCACGGGAAGGGTGGGGGTTTTCAGTTCTTTTTACACAGGCAGAGATTTAGCTAGTTCACTGATGTCATGCCACACAGTACAATGACAAGTAGTTTACATGCGAAGAGTAAGTCGTTAGTTTTTTCATTAGTGAGGTCACTGGCGTTGTGTCTCACCTAGTAAAGGTTACTTTACTGTCCTTCGCTCTTTTGTTTCTGTCAAATTTACAATGATGATTTACTTTGAAAAATGTGACGCCTTATTGGGACTATGTGTAGCTGGGCCCCCACATTTGCCCGGGAAGGTATCGTGCCGAAAGCACGGGGATCGGCATCAATTGAGGTGGACCTACAATCTAGAGACTTTGGAGTGCCACAGCTACACGCAGTTCGTGGTGAGCACCGACCACAGAACTCCCCAAAAATGGTACTGGCTTGGGGAGGTGTCGCCCCTCGCTGCCTCTGGCGGGGAGCCCTTCGGAGGGCTCGTCCACCGCTGCCCTGACAACCCGGAGTTCCTCTGCGCCAACTTCAGCTCACAATCCCAACATCTCCAAGTGCAGGTAGGTGAGAATCGAACGTTTTTTAATCGACAATAAAAAAACGATTACAATTGACAATGTAATAGTATATAATTCAACTAAGCGATGCAAATTTGCAAATAAGCGATATAAGAAAGAGTGCAGAACGACTTAAACTGGAATATTCCGGAATAAAAACGCGCAGAAGAGTTTTTATCCAAATATTCATCCAACCGTGGGTGCATGGTTGTGCATGGTCAGAGTACTCGCACCAAAATTCATACAAATGGTGATGATGATTTACCAAACAAGATGTTTTATTCTCCTGATCCTTATCATTTTACCCTGGTACATAACAAAGTTCAAAAGATAACCAGTACTCGATAACAAAGTTCAAAATGGTAGCCGGTATTCGGTGTAGTGGTCTCCTGCGTCTCCTTAAAAGAACCGCCACTGGGACACAGCAGCGAGACGGCGGCGTCTCCGGAATATACGGGCACCGCTCACGAGAGGACACTGAGGTCGGAGTCGGGCAACCGTCACCCTTACGCATCGGGCGCGCCATCACCCTTACAGCCTGGCCAGTCGGCGAGCCTTCAGCCAGTCAGTTCGAGTTAACCCTGCGTAACGCGAGCGGCAAGGAGTGTTTACTTTATGGTGATAGTGAGTGAGGACACGGCCTGTGTGCACGCTCTTTTCTGCAAGCTTCTGTTTTGCGACCAAGGCTAAGTTTTTTTGAACATCTCTTCGCTTTGGTTAATCTAGTATATCTAGCATATCTATTGGCAATTTTATGACTACTGCGCTATTTTATGGTATCCTCTGTGTGTTGTGCAAACTTGAACTGTTTTACGAAATTTGCTTGTTTTGGCCATAACACTCGGCTCAATGTAATCGGTTCAAAAGGGGAGAAATGATTTTCTTCGATGTTTCTTGAAGTCTCCTAGAGATGGCATCAAACGAAGATATTATTTTACAGAAATGGCCTATTTTCAAATAATAGAAAAATATGTGCTAATGTAGCCCAACTTGTATTTAATAATTGTATAGTGAATTTCTTCTTATTTTTCGTCCACTTGATTTAAGAGTGTATTTCGAAAGTGGTGCTTCTCCAAGAAACGTATTTTTTCTGAAAGGGAATTTATTTACACTAGTATTTATAATGTAATTACCGTATTAAATAAATCTGTATTAAGTATAGGGACGCACGCAGGATTTTTCTCGGGTAAGGGGGGCTAGATGTATAATGTCCAGACGCCTTGATGTTTTGTTGTAAAGAATTTTTAATTTATGCTGAATATAAAATGTATTTTTATTTGTTGACTTATAGCATTATTAATATTTAAATAAATACATGTTTTATTCGTGGCGATGCTCATGTCATTGAGCCTTCCTTTTCATCTTACCACCTATAATAGTTTAATACAAAACAGAATAAATAGATCTTTCAGAGAAACATCTATAACATAAGCAACTAATTTATTTAATGACTTTCATTAGTACAAAAATATAGTAAAACCATCAATATGTGCCACAAACTATCTTATGTGCGCATCTGGCTCAATAATTATACGGTTGGCATTTAGTTCTTTAGACCAAGATGAAATGAAATGGTTTTCGGGTGCCGTTTAAAATGCGAAAAATGCAGTACTTGAAAAAATAATCTGGCAGCGCCTTAAGAATATAGAGATTAAGAATTGATACGTAAAAGAGAACAAGTGCAAATGATAATACGAATTAAGAAAATGATATATACAAATGATGGCATAAAACATGAACATTCGTTCATCTCATGAAGCGTGTTTTTTGTTTAATAGATGGGAGTTCGTCGAATCGATACAGACGAATATAATGCACAATTAGCGACCAATTGGATCACTTGCGAATATCCAGGTAAGTGAACGGCATTATAATTGGGAGGGCATTATAATTTATCTTAACCCATAACTATTTGTAGTTCCCATAACTATTTTTGTTAAAACTTGTAGCTGATATTTTGTCATTTTCTTTCCTTGGTCTTAAAATATAAGGAAAAGATGAAAAAAATTGACAATCAATGATTTATAAACTTATATGGGCTTACATCTGCACCTATATGGGTGCAATGGGAATCTACATATACAGGTTTTTATATTAATATTTTTTTTGATTCGTGAAGGAAAATATGTAAATATTATTTTAAAACCATATAGGAAATTTAGTATAATGTTTATTTAAAAATAGTTATAGTATAGTCAAAATAAACTGTCGTGTCTAGCTCTTGGTCAGCGTGCTCGCTTTCCACCACGCGGCCCCAAGTTCGATTTCCGGTCAAGCAAGATCATAGTGTGCGTTTTCCTAGCAATGACCCAGAATATGTTACTGTGTGACGGTGAGAAAATTCACTTCTCATGTTGAGAAGACCGGAATGCGGCGTGGTGATATCTACGTTCTAACCAGGTGTACCCTTTTACCCATGGTCGCGAGGCAGGGACGCCGCCGGTAGGCCTGATACCATTCGCGGGATGTCGCGCCAAGTACATACATCCATGGTCGAAACACGTTCACTCCACTTACCATATTATCAAAGAAAAAAATTCAATGGCCATTTTGAAATTGTATTTGTCAATTCAACCAAAATTCATGCAAATGGTGATGATTATTTACCATATAAGATGTTTTATTTTTCTGATATCTTGTCAATTTTACCCTGGTACATATCAAAGTTAAAAAGGTAGCCATCACATGAATTTATGCACCATATTTTAAATACAAATTTTATAAGTTTAGTGGAAATGAATAGTTTTATTCCATGCCATATCACCAAACACACGTCAAAATTAAAAATTTGATTATTTATTAAGTCACCAATTTATCATGGGCTGTATCAAAAATTTGTCTTGGTAAGTTCCATGAATGGACGGCGCTTGAATACGTTGTCTCGAGAATCCATGAAACTATTGTATTCGATTGCATTTCATTCCTTGTATAGCCATATTTTTCAAATCGAATGTCTCATACAGTATTTTTTGGAAAATTGTAAAAAATCTACAAAACATTTTATTTCTTTAAGTGAAATATTTTGAGGTTCATGATTTCTAAAAATAATGAACTTCTCAGACTCCATGATCGCACACTTCATATGTGAACATTTTTTCAAACATCTGAACAGAAGAAATATTTAAATTGTCAGAAATATCAACAGATGCCGAAATTTCCTTTCTTGCATAGTCGATTCTTTAATCTCTTATCCCAATTTTCTAACAATGGGACTGAATATTTAGGCGGTGAAGTAGGGGCTCAAAGCCAAGAAGCAGTTAATAGCATGCGTGCTAGGAGAACAATTTTGGCCGGAGCGGGTACCTGACTGATGTCTAACATCAGCATCCTCTTATGTACCTCCCCCTTACATCGCATACAGTTATTACTCTTCTTTGACTAAATAAATAAAAAATCAAATCAAAATCTTCATCTTCATTTCCTAATTCTTTATCAGTTTGAACTGCTGGATTAGGTGCATCCAGAAACGCAGCTTCTGGTGAAATATCGCCAGTTAAAACACTTTCAAGGAAATCAATAGCCCCATTTAATTCCCTTTCTAGCAGATCAATGGTCTCTTAAAGTAAAAAATGAGGTCTGTCATAACAGAAAAAACATGGGTGCGTAAGTTCCCATTGCACCCGTATGATAACGTTGAACAAAATCAGATAATCTGCTATAAATTAGAAGTTACTAATACTTGTGAAGATATCTTTCAGTGTATCTTACGAGCAATGTTATGATGAAATATTTTCAGAAAAATTAAATTCAAATTATTTACATCAAAATATGTCGCAGAACGTCAAACCGTTCTTCCATTTTAAAACCGATTCCCCGTTTGGCAAATGCAGATAAACAACTGAGCAATCACTCCTAATATGTCGCAACGTTTCCAAAACTAGTTGAATCATCCTTTTCCCTCAGATTCGGACCGGGGGAGAAAAGAAAAATGATAGTTCGAACAAGCGCGAGGCGTTGCCATATGGGTGCAACGGGATGTTCTTTTGCCGAAAATTCGCCGTTTTTTCTCGCAGCATTACGTAACATTGTCTCTACCATTCTCATTGTCACTAGGCCATTAACTTCGTTGTCGAGTTGGGCCGAGGCAGCAATATCATCACTCAAATACCGCAAGTGTTGACTGAACTCGGTCAAAACTGGTTTTGAGATTAATTTATCAACTACTTCGTTCCTCTTAAAAGTTATCGATAATAACAAATCTTAATTTCATGCTTCATAATTGTAGAGCATAAATGAAACCCGGGCTAAGTGCCAAAATGTGAAAATTTTCATTTTGTGCGTAAAAGCGTGGTGTCAAGCTCTCAATGCGGCGGAAAATGGGCGATCAGAAAATTTGTCATTGTTTGGTGTTCAAATTTTCGCCACTGTACTGCGAATCAATCAAGTCCTGTGAACCACTGAATCAATTTTTTTTAATTATCTCGGAATTCCGTTTTGGCACTTGGCGCGTTTTTCAGTTCCTGTCTGCAATTATTGTCAGTGAACGACTGACGTGTTGTGTCCGCTCGGCGTGCAGAAGGTTTGGTGCCGCCCCTGGTGCCAGCCCCCGCCCCGGCCGCGGGGCGCACGGAGCAGCCGCTGGCCACCGCCACCGCCGCCACCGCCACCGCCGCCGGCCGCCCGCGCCGCCACCACCCGTGCAGCGGCAGAGACTACACGCTGTTCGCGGCGCTCATCGCGCTGACTGTGTGCGTCCTTCTGCTGCCCGTCGCCTTCTACGCCGGCCGCAGGTCTGCGCTAGGCCAATCCATTCCCAACAAATGCACTGGGAGAGGTGGCTCAGCGCATCAACTGATGTCACTGCAGCGCCTCTGACCTGGACGTCTTAGACCCTAATTTACCCCCACGTTAACTTCCAGGGTCATGAGCCCCAAAAGTGTATTGCATGTTTTTCTCAGGAGGTGGCAGTGATCTTCTGTATGGCGAGATCCGGCGCCGACCTAACGTCGGCTAGGAGGATTTTCCCAAACCAGGTATCTCTCACCAGTGGGACACCACCCCAGTCGGGAAAAGCTCTAATCCCCCGACTGATCTCCCGGAACGGGTAACGATAGAACGTATAAGGATAGAACAAGGAAGAGAAAGAAAAGATTCGTTTGCTCGTTTGCTCGTTTGTTCGTTTTTTTATTTGATGTTTTGTTCGTGTGTTCGTGTAATCGTTTGTTCGTTTGTTCGTTTGTTTGTTCGTTTGTTGGTTCGTTTGTTGGTTCGTTTGTGTGTTCGTTTGTGTGTTCGTTTGTTCGTTCGTTTGTTCGTTTGTTCGTTCGTTTGTTTGTTCTTTCGTTTTTTGTTCGTTTGTTTGTTCGTTCGTTTGTTTTCTCATTTGTTTGTTCGTTCGTTCGTTGGTTCGTTTGTTTGTTTGTTCGTTCGTTCGTTCGTTTGTTTGTTCGTTCTTTTGTTCGTTTGTTTGTTTGTCCGTTTGTTTGTTCGTTCGTTTGTTCGTTCGTTTGTTGGTTTGTTCGTTTCTTTGTTCGTTTCTTTGTTCGTATGTTTTTTCGTTTGTTTGTTTGCTTGTTCGTTTGTTTGTTCGTTTGTTCGTTTATTTTTCGTTAGTGTGTTCTTTTGTGTGTTCGTTTGTG